AAAATGGTATCTTAACAGGTTTAGAAGTATTTAAAAACTTTTGTGGCAATTTTTGTGGCAATTTTTAACAATATCAGCAATATTTTTAATAATATTTTAAAATTTCCAGAAAAAAAGAAATTATTTTTCCAGAAATGCAATTCTCAATGCAATATTCCCAAAAGATTTTACAATTATTTGTGTTTTTTAAAATATTTTTTGATAATATTTTTCGATATGATCTGAACATAGATATTCTAAAAATATTTTCGAATGTTTTTAAAAATATTTTCGAATTTTAAAACATTTAAATTTTTTTAAAAACGTTTTGTGCCGTTTGGGTTATGAACAAATGAAATTTTTTTTTAATTCAACAGTCCTTATGAAACGTGACACTTGTTTAATGTTGTAAATAATGAAAAGTATATTTGTGTTGAAACTTATCATGTTTCATAGTTATAATAATAAAAATGATTCGAAAGATATTCGGTGCTTTATACGTAAAATATTATGAAATTTCATATATTGTAGCATCTTTTGCTATGTAAAATAAGTTTATTATTAACACAAATATGCAACGTTATAGATTATATTGTTAAATAATTGTCTAAGGCAAAACTATCGTTAAGTCATATCTTTTTATGATAGATTATTGTAGAAATTATAATACACGTCTTTCTAAAGTATGGAATATTAATATACTACTTATATTTATAACAGACATTTTGTGACATGATCTTTTTCTATTCTCCATTAAATTTGTTAAATTAATATGAAATTAACTTCTTCTGATAGAGACTCGCTTTTATTTTTATAGACTAATAAAATTCCGCGAGTGACTATCAGTGTTTATTCAATCAACACGGTATGTGCATATTATTATTTTCACTACACAGTATAACATTTTTTTTAATACAAAATACTTGCTGTAAAATTTAATATTTTTGTATTTGTTTTCAATATTATCCAGATTAGGCATTAAAGCGATATGAAAAGATCTAAAAAACTAAATATTTTCAAAATTAAAAAATTAAAAATATATATTTAATATTTGATAGTTTCTTGATAAAAAGAATGTCACAATGGAAATTTCTTTGCATACGAAAAAATTTATAAGAGATTTTTTAATTAGCAAAAAAATTACCGTCTACTGATAAAAAGGTGGTTAAGGTGTAGTAATTATGTGGCGTCAAGATTAATAATGAGGGATACTAATAAATGCATGAGAGAGTTCGATTATGTTCATCGCAAGTTTATATTTTGCTTTGCCATTTGTTTCGTGCTTATTCTGTCTTTGTTTTTAACAATTATATAATCCGGTCTACGCCGACAGGAACGGCTGGACTATTTACAAGAAGAATATGAAGAAAGTAAAAATATAAAAGGTGCGTAGATCCAGGCTTTCCGTGTGCGCTCTTCTCCTCCAGTGTGTTTTTACGAGAAATATTAATACATACTCGGTTAACAATGAGAGGATTGGTCATTGATATTCGATTCATTTTTTTAGTCTACCTGAAATTTTAATCCTATTTTCTCTAAAATAATTCTGAATTAAATTAAAACTAAATGTAAATCAAATTCTGTACATATAATATTGTCTAAAATAAAAATATTGAGATAATATTAATAATTTTACATAATTTAGTTTTATATTAATAATTTAATCATGATTTTTGTACTATATTATGTTGTTATGTTTGATGAAAAATCAAATGTTTAATAGCATTTTCGAGGCAGTAGATTTGAATCAAATTCAGATTCGGATTAATGACATCACATATTCTATTTTATTTTCCGATTGGACGAAGTTATGATATTTTTGGATTAATCGATCTAAGTTACTGTACTCGAAAATGCCAGTTTAGTTTCATTTTTATTTATTTATATTTTACAAATTATCAAATATTTCTTTTCAATAATAATCATAACGATTGGGAAAAATTTAATTATTTTTTTCTGTAAATCTGTAAAAATAACTCGTGAAAAAATAACATTTTGGCGAATATCAGCGACTATCGAAATGAAATCAATTTAAACGATTTGTATTAACCCGGATATGTAATTTTTCTTTGCAGATTATTTCCCTGGGAATCAGACCAACCTGCACACCTGCAAAAAATGCGGAAACATGTACGTGTATTACAGCTCATTGACGAGGCACATGAGGGAGGAATGTGGAAAAGCGCCGAAATATCAATGCCTATATTGTCCAAAAAGATCGAAGTTACATTGCAACCTTTTGAAGCATATGCGAACGAAGCACGGCTTTGAGCAGGGCTGAGAGTTCCGAAAATGGATGGTAGGAGTGATGGTGATGATGTAGTCAGGGGACAACAGAATGGGGAAACCAAAGTTAAATTTTAAATATACAAGACTGTTAACAATATTTCTATAGTCGCCCAGTAATTTTATCAAGTGTAATAAGATTTAAGAAACGTTAACAACTCTACAAGTTTTACGTTTGCATTTCGAGCGTTCACGTGCACTTGTCAATCCCTTTAGTAGCCGCATAATCTTCGCGTAAGACGCGAATTGTAAAATAGTGTAAATTTCTGCATGAATGCCTTTGTAAATAAATATTTACTTGGATGTGTATAAAACCAATACTATTACTCTTAAGCTTCGAGAAATTTAATTTTTTTTAACTTTAAAGTGCCAAATTTAGAAAAAAAAGTATGAATAATTACTCTAACTCTATTTTTCACTTACGAGATCTCTGTCTTTTGAGAAACAAATCAAAAGGTAACTATTATTTTTGCGAGAAATAATACCATTCTTATATCGTTATATTTCGTTAAAATAAATATGTATTAATTGCAAAATTAAAGAGATGAAGTAAGAGCAAATTTTTCTATATATTATTATTAACGGTACTAAAAGCAGGATTGTGCATGCATAATAGTAACACAATAAGGTGTTACTAATATACTATTGATCATGTAAATTTATATTTTCATCTTTTGAATTGTTAACCATATCCAATATAATCTACCAATGCGCTTTTTATTTAAAAAAAGTGGATTAATTTGTTTTCTCATAAAACAACTGCTGTCCTCTATTAAACTTGAATAATCCCACTGTGTTATATTGAAATTTAAAAGTATCGATATTCAAACTGATTATTTGTTATTGTGTCATTAGCTCTGCGATTTACATTATCGAACTGTTTGTTGAACAAGAGATCTTGTTATATACCGGGAAGCATGGTGTAACGAAAATTAGAAACCGAGCCGAGACCCGTTCACATTTGTCCGAAAGACGTTGATGTTTCTCGTGTGTTCTGATCGAAGTCGCTGACAAACCTACGTATTGTTTTCTTTTTCAGAGTGCAATACTTGTCTGGCCTGCTCGAAGACATACAAATGGAGGAAATCGCTGCATCGACACGTACGCGAGAGCCCGGAATGTTGGCCAATTCTTCTTACTTCCGGCAACGGCGAATTTATCCGGCAGATCCAATACAAGATGTTGCACAACATCAAGATCTGAATATGGACCGAGTTTGCAACTGCAATTGACTGTATTCAATGAAACGCCTTTTGGAGGTGCCAATTGTTATATTTGGAATATTTTTTATAAAAATAAATCTTATTTTATTGTGGTACGAAGCATGAAAACAGATAAAATGTATCGTTATTTATTAATGAAACTAAATATTCCTTTCCCATAAGTTTTATTAATTTAATCATGAAGAAATAATTTGGTAATAAATATATATTAAGAATTATGTTCTATACGTATAGATATATGTATAGAATATATTCTATGTATATACAAAAAAAGAGCATCTTTAAGATCGCTTTTATTTATACCGTATTTATTATTTAACTTTAATTAACGATTTGGATTCGAAGATGTCATTTATTAAATTTGATTTAATTGTTTTTGTTCATATCATTCATTTCCTGTATGTACAATAATATATTAATTTATAGAAATAATTAAAAAGAAACTTCATCATGTTATTTTCTTTAGAACTACTGTGATTTTATTTTAAAAAATCACGTAATTAATGATTCCTAAGCCTGAAAAAATGCTATACATATAGAAATTATATACTTATTATATACAGATTTACAATTATATACAGAAATGTATTATAAATGCGGAAATATTTTATATATAGAACAATATGTATAATATTTCCGTATTTATATATTTATATGAAATATAATATGTCTTATTATCTTAATCCATTGTTGTGCACTTAGGATGATAGATGTAGAATATTAATATTTTAGTGTTATTAATATGTTTAATAGCAATCGAAATTAACCAATTATCTTAATCCTCCTTCATCGAAAAGTTTTTTTTTTCAGCAAGATAGAATTGTGAAAGCCAAGTAAAAAAAAGGAATAATGTGGATGTTATGAATTTACATCTTGGTTGTTTTCTAACGATGTTATTATTGACACGATAATTTTTCGCAGATTGCTCGTCGAAGCTCGATGGCCGAACCCGAATCTTGAAGCTTGACAATCATTTATCATGACGTAAATATTTCATCAATGAATCTCTTCTACGACCAATCTTAAATCTTTGATTCAGCAGGATCTGGCTCAACCATTCAATGGAAACTCAGCTATCGGAAGTCTATTACGCACGCTCCTTACGATCGTTCACAGATTAAAATCAGAGCAAGCACTAAGATGTCGTCTGTGATTTTCTGTTTCAGGTCAATCTGTTGGGTCCACCATGTTTTTTCTCAAGAAGCCCTTCCCTTGCATGTACTGCGAACGCAGCTACAAGAATAAGAGTTCATTAAATCGCCACATACAGTACGACTGCGGCAAGAAGAGATTGCTGTGTCCGATCTGTCAAACAAGATTATTAACGAGGAGAAGTCTACCCAAGCACATGCTCTTCGTACATGGGATTTCAACGAGATAAAAAAAAACATACAAAGAGAGAGAGAGAGAGAGAGAGAGAGAGAGAGAAAATTTTTTGTTTTCCTTTTTCATGTTGAGTATCGACAGGTTGAGTTCAGTTACGTTTTTGATCGATGCACATAAGTTAATAAATAAATTATATTTTTGTTAATTTGTTATTTCATCGTCTCGCCTTCACGGGTATTCTAAAATTTATGTATAATATGCATATACATGTGTACAGTTGCCGATATATACTTTTCTTAATACATGTATGAATACATGTATGAACATTATATATATCGCATTATATTATATAAATCTTCGAGTGTACATTAAAAAATAATCGTTTCTTTTTTCGATTTTAACTTGGTTCAACGCGAGATCGTTCTACATCGTCGCATCTTGTTTTTGGGTATCTTGTTTGGAGGGTTGGAAACTGGTGTCTTCTCATTTGAGGTGGAAAGGCTGGAGCTGAGGAGGGGCTGTGTATAATTCGCGAGAGAAATCTATTATTTGATAAATATCACATTGTTACTTTTGCTCTGAATCGCTTGTGAAGATATGTTTGAATTGTGAAAGAAATTATGAGTTAAACTTAGTGACTTTAGAGCCTCCTCTTATCCATCATTCCCGCCTTACGCAGTTTATTTCACGCCTCTTCACATAGCCACGTATCTTTGGCGAAGTTTGATTTTGGGCGCACTTATCTTCGGGCTATTGGCTGACATTGTGTGTTGGGTTGGTTACGGGTTTAATCTCACTGATCTCTGTTAATCGCATACAAACACATTTGGAAAAACATCTTTATCCTCTCCTCCTCCCTTCCTTTCTTCTTTCCTTATTTTCCTTTCTTTTCGTATGTTTTTATCATCGTCAAAAAAAAAAATGAAATCGTTATCCATGACTATTAAGTTATTCAAGTCATGGTCTCAATTTGTGGCAAAGTTATTTTACAAAGAAGGTAGTGATTTAAACGAATAATGGTTTAATCGAAGAAAAACGAATAAAATGTGTTTGCAAATGTTAAATTTTACGGAAGAAATATAATAATAATAATAATAATAATAATAATCTCTCAGATAAACTATTAGTCTTGATAGATTAGTGGAATAACTTGGCCACATCATCACAAGCATCTTGATTAAGGCGAACGACAATAATAACGACGAATTCGGAATCTCGTCCTGTAACTATGCGAGACGTGTAAGCGGGCGAGCGAGCCAGCAAGCTAACTATATTTTTTTTCAAAAATTTAATCTCTTTACCACCTTCGCGCCTCCGCCGGCGCTGGGTCCCTGTTGCAGGCATGGGCGCGCTATTATCCTTGCTGCGTTCCGACCTTAAGCAGCAACCGCAACAGCCGTCAACGAAGAAGGGGTACCGTGCGTCAGCATCAACGATGTTAACGCGGGCCAACATCGCCATGGCAAACAGACGTGCCAGCAACAGCAATGTCGTCGGTGGCGACAACAGCTACGACGACAGCAGCGGCGGTGACAACAGCGGTGGCCGTGCTGTGTCCACTCGCGAGGTCGTGTTTCCGGATTCGTTCGAAGTGCTGCCGCAACCGCATGACCTCAGCGTTGTCTTCATGACTGGTGTGTCGCACGAACAACAGCGGAAGTTCCGCTGCCGTTTTTGTGGTAAAGGCTACCGTTGGAAGAGCACGATGCGTCGCCACGAGATGGTCGAGTGCGGCGGCAAGCCGCCGGCCTTCCAATGTCCAGAATGTCCGTATAAAGCGCGGCAGCGCGGAAATCTGACCGTGCATTTTAAACGGCATCATCAAAAGATAGGCTACGACGAAGGTTCCTCTGCATCTTAAGCGTCTTTATCACAGAGCAGAGGGAAGGGGAATACTTTCTGAGTATTAAACAAATGTATGAGGTCTAAGCTTTTAAGGGGATCTTGAAAACCTCTCGAATTCGCAGCTTTTCTCTTTCACCCTCTTTGAGCCAATTCTATACTCAGTATTCACAATTTGTTTCTTCTTTATTTCAATTTATCTTAAATAATGTCTTAAGATGTTAGTGTGCTCTGTGATTGGTTTAGAACATTTAGAGTCCGACCGAAACTTTTGCCGAAACCGGAACACTCGGCTACAATCAATTTCAATCAAAACCGAAATCAAAATTAAAAATAGAGAGACTTTTAAAAAGCCTAAATGTATAGACATGCCTATATATCATATTAATTTTCTTCATAAATATCATAATTTATTGAAATAATAATTATATTTCAGCCAAAATCGAAAACTGAAATTTCAGTTGTGTGTCAATTTTGACCAAAGAATATAAATACTTTTTCTTCATAAATATCATTATTGAAACAATAATTATATATATTTAAGTTAATATTTATGAAGAAGAGCTATATGGTTTCAGTCGAAACTGACACGTAGTGAATATTT